GGGAAGACTAAAAATGCATTCCAAGCATTCAACTGAAGACCGGATTGGTTCAACAATGATTGCACTTATAAAAGAACTGTCACTAAATGATTCCATGTCAGATCGGTTTGAAATGGCTCGACCTGAGATCACTTGAGTCCATCGATTCCAGGTTATAAAACCTCAAAATGATGACCCTTCATCTAAATATGTCTATAAATTCAACGGTTCCACTTGTATAGCTAAACTAAATTACGGTTAATGAGTGAGACCACAGACAACACGCGCATGGATATCGACGGATACGGATAAAGACAGGGAGGGCATTTGTGCCAAATTTCATTACGTACTGCAATGTGCTTAATTCTCCTAGACCATTATTGGAATAAGAGTGACCTGGATTATCAGGATATAACTCGTAGCAGTTCGCAGGTTGGCGCTCAATCCAATGGAAAGCGACATACAGCTTCATTCTTTCCAATAGAAAATAATGGTTTACGAGGATATTTATTGTGGTCAACCGGAAATAAATNACTGCGACAAATAAACGAAAGTGAGAATAATATACACCCGCAGGAAACGGAGGATTTCCCATCAAATGTCAGCCGCGATATATGCGGGGCAATGTGTATAAACCGCATTTGATTGGGGATCGATGTTCCAGTTCATCGGATCATACGCTCTTTGAATGAGGTAAAACGTCAAAGATGGATGGGGTCAAGCATCCAAGGTGCACAAAACACCGCGATGCCCAAGAGGACCGTTGACCACTACCACTATCAGAAAGGTATGGGTGGGTGTGGTTCGCACATCTCTCCTTGGCTGGTTATAGCCGCGAATGTTGGCTTTTCATCCTTTCACTTAGATCGGAAAACAGTTCCACAACGTAGAGAAAGTGAGCAGGGCTTCCTCAGCAGAGGATTCATAGGTTGACCGACAAGTTTACCTATGGGGTTCATAAGCCATAAAAAAACGGAATGGTCAACATCAAAAACCAAATGATGGTCCGGTGTTAACGTCACCAAATTATTACCTCGGAGGACATGTGCTTGAATCCCACATCACCAACATCGGCTTTTGTGTTGTACGACAGCCCTTTGCTCAACCGCTTCCCCCTTCTTTAAAACTGATCTTTTTGTACCCAATAAAAGGAAGCAAAAGAAGTAAAGATCCTCGGGAAACGAATCGGGTTATTCGTATATTTTTGGTATAATTAAAATTGCCACTCAAAACATACCACACTGCTGTGCTGTGCACGACGGTAACTTGGCCAACTCACATCTAACTGGGCAATGCACTGAACACGACAGCAATGCATCTTGTTTTTGAGTGTTGCCAATCTGGCTGGCTTAAAACCGAAGCTACACGGGTCTCGGGCGTATTATTTTGATTCGGAATCTCTCATATCGCTGCAGAACACTCGGTAGCGACATGAATAGACTAGAACACATAGTACTTTGTTGATGGTCTAATGTGACACGTATTGCGCATGCCCAGCCATCGTCTGCCGCACCGCGCCTTATTCGCAGTTAGGTTGGAAGAAACCGCGTGGTGGTCAACAGATGACGTGGAAGCGAGGCATGAAGAGATGCACAGAGCGATTAGGTAGGATCGGTGTCCGTCGTCTTCCAGGTTGGGTCCGAAAGACTCTACAACTGGTTGGTTGTAGACATTAAAGGATATGGCGACTGACCGAAAGCAGTGGTGTTCTTGTTGTCAGAATGCTGGAAAAAAGTGTACTGTGTTGAACATAGAGGTTACTTTTCTTTGCCTCTCTCCATATAGGCCCAACCGCTCTCCATCTTATGCTTTATCACTTGATTTGTGTACATTGTGAACTTGGCAGCGATCAGTGAAGCTCGCTTCACTGTATCTCGCTGTACGATGATGATGATGTCTAATGAGACAGCAACCAGGGTCGCTATGGAGGCTTCGCTCATCGCTGTAGCAACGTCCGAGCAGCAATGACAACTAACCAGGAGGCATACTTTTTCAGTGATCACAGTTGCGCTGGAAAACGATGGACCTCGAAACAGTTACTGTGGACCGATGTATCCATCCGTTCAACTTTGTTACTCTTGGAGAACATTAGGTGATCATATTGGGAACGGTGTGGATTGCACACAACATTCATCATCATCATGTTTTCCCTATGTTGTACCCAAATCAAAAATATCCGAGGAACAACGTATTCGCTGCTAAGTAACAACTGCAACTAGTGTTTTGATTAGCAGTCACAAGTTTTCGCGTTTCGCAAAACATTCCCGTGCATCATCACTCGATTTCTGCACTATCCAATTTCGGACCCGAAAACAACAACAGAAAATAACATGGGAGGGTTCGTCCTGCATTCGGCGTTACTCAGACCTCGACAGATGTTAACAAACAAGGTGGTGCGTGGACCCATATAGCAGCTAATCGATTGTTCTGAAAACGACCTTGTAATTCACTCGACGAGGTTGTTATACTGATGATCATCAGGGTAAGGTCGAATCTACAGAAAGTACAAGAAAATCCTATCCTCACTCGCATATCAGATGTAAACCTGCGAACAACTTCGTACACCTAAGTATCCATTTTTCACATTCCGCACGCGGGATGATAAAAATTGACTACATACTACATAAAAAGACCAACAGCTCCGTGGCCACGTTTCTCCTCCCTTCACGGTGAATACAAAAAAGACAATACTCGATTCACGGGAAGTTCACACACGAGTTAAAGTGCTTTTGTGGAGGTCAATTAAAAAGACTAAAGGTCATTTAGCACTGTCTGTTCATACAACGATTGCACTAAAGACGAATGCGTCAATGTTTACCACTTGACCGATAGGTGACAATACATCTTCATTCCCCAACGGCGTTTAGTTTTTAGGATCGCTTACATCACAGCACTGAGAACGGAGGAGAAATCGCAGTCAACAATGGCTAACAGCATCCGATTGCCCCAGTGACCTGATAATCGTCCGTGTGACCAAGTCAATCCGTGAGAGAAGACTCATGATTACTGAATTCGATCTTAATTCATGTGAGTCACAACCAATTCATTTCAATAGTATTTTCAGGTTAGTATCATATAACCCTAGCCGTCTAAATTTGACCAACAGAAAAACCGACAGTGGTTATCGAAAGTATCACACTCATCGGAGTCGCCCGGAAATGAAGCAACGCCGGTGACATGCCGCTCACCACTGCCCGAAGAAAACCACGATTGGGAATTTGAATTTTGAGATCAATAAGTGACCTTTGGGGAGCAAATGGAGCATAGACAGAAACGTGAAGTAACCTTAGATAGCTGTTTCGACCGGAATGGATCTGACAACAGCAGCGTGAGCACATCGATCCTAGGGGGAGGAGGCCGAACTCTGAGGCTCATAAGCACAAAAAACAACAGTAGATTTATTTTGATCCAGCGATGAAGTTCGCCATGTAGAGGACGCGGGAGATATGAAATGAACCCAACTTTCTTTTGAACTGTTTACAACGAAGTTACCCACAATTCAATAGTAACAAGCAACCAGGTTCGGAATGTTCAGAATTCGAATACTCAGTTATAAATATCATTGCAGTATGAGACACGTTTCGGCTCATTGAAGCACAGTATAGGGCATTTCTCGCTGGTCTGACTCACGTCAACAACCCAATTGCGCGTGAAACTTAAGGGGTAGTAGACAACGGTCGACAGACGACGAGAGAAACACCCTAATACCAATAAGTCCGTTTCGTAGGAAAATTCGGTAATCAAATAACTATCATAAAAACAGCACTCTTGGGCGGACTAAACACGTCTATCAATATTCGTTCAGTGTTCAACACTTGCACGGGTTGGCGGACAAATTTACGCACACGTTCTACTCCTATGCCACGCCGTGTCAAATAGCAGACAATGCACCTGACATGCAAACGTGGGCGTGCATCAACCCTGGCTCATCGATTCATAACTCGGGGTGAAAACAGGGCAAACCGAGAGTGCGTAGAATGAACTATAGACGAACATGAATGAATCCGCTGACTAGAATGCGACAATGGATGATCCTTTGAATCGGAAAAATCAGCCCATATAAATCCGCAGATAGGATATGGTGGTCGCGACTGGAATTAACCTGTAAAATACATACCCTACACGAACGGAGCATGAGAGCTTGAAGAATCAAACCTCTCCATAAAATCAAGTATGCGGGAAGGCATCATACTCTTAATCGAATCAATATCTATACCATCCACTAGTGAACGAACAACGGCGTCAGGGAAGAAAACTACAATGAATTAGGCAGTTAACAAACTGTACAACACAAGCACTGTTGATGAAAGTGTTGAGCGAGAGAAGAGTGGGGGAGATCGGCATGCTGGAATCCTGTGCACGAACCTTAATCGGCGGGGTACAACGGGGCAGAGCAAGGAGAAACTTATCCGGGACATACAGAATGCAACGAAAGTGATGGTGTCACGCTAATACGGGCTTCGACTCCGGAGCCATGAAGAGAATCATTGCGGAACAAGCAAAAAGGAGATTAAAAAAATACTCCTAAGGTATTCACACGTTCGGGAGGAACGAAAACACTGAAAAGGCCACAAAAACAACTATAGAATGATGAGACAGAGTTAATATGGCTACAAACCTCATGAATAACATCAGATGACGATGGGCGAGCAGCTCTCATGATCAGAATTAATATGGATGGGAGAAAGGGGGGGGCGGAGCATTATTGAGCGGGTGTGCACATAACACAGTCGAAGCAGCGATACCACAATGAAAGAATGAAACAGCTGGCGTAATAGGGCGTTGGAAGAAAGAAAGTATAGAAACTAGTGGCAAATCGTCTGTTTACTGGACCCACCATAGTTGAATAGAACGCAACAAATAAAACTAGCCACGTTGGTAGATTCATGGTGTTACTTGTTGAACATATCACAACAGAAGACTAGCACGTCCAACGGGGGATTATGTACAAGCGGAGCATCCATGGGTGGGGCGACCAACAAGAAATCTGTCACAACTAAGGCGAACATTACTGCACTGATTCAAAAGTGAGTAGGAGTAGTGGAAAGACCTGGTTGGACAGAACTAACCATAGCTACAGGAGCGGCACTGGGAGTTTGTGAATGGAACCAGCCTGACCGTTTTAAGGAGGAACCATTTTGGAGTGGAGTGAATTGGAGTGTTTGTACTCGTCGTAGTCCACGCGGGGCTGGTGTGTTCGGCTCATCTGATTCCAGGGCGAACGGGTTGGGCAGAGCGGGAGGTCCACGTTTCAAAGCACGTGGCTGAACTGCTCGGTTGGTTGGTCCACCAAGCTCACAAACCGTGTTTCGACGCTTAAGGGGAATGACGGCACGTTCGATTGCGTCCGCGGGTTGGGAGAACTTGTGAAGCAGCTGAGCTGCGGATGAGTCAGCCGAAGATAGAGTTGCCGCAATAACACGACGACCGACTCGAACCACAACTTCTGCCAAACTCAGGGGACT